TCCATGTAACATTTTATTTAAAAGTAATATAAAGTAACAGCCTTTTAAAGGGTATATATTATACCATTCCTGAAAAATTTGTTGATCTTCTATTAACATACTTGCTGGTATTTCTGGAATATTACTGTTTCTTTTGGACAGAAAAAAATACATTTGGTTTAGTCTCTCATAATGTAATATTCAAATATATCAAACTGAAAAAAAGTCCTGTGCACTGTTTGGCACCACTTAGTTTCTTACACTGTTCTTTTTTCCCCCCCTCTTTGGTCTAAAGCAAACATGCTGCTGTTGAAAATGCTGGCAGTTATGGTTTTGGGGTTTTTTATGTTACCTGACCATGGATGTTCACCACTACTCTTCACCACCATTACTTACTATTTATTCTCTATTGCCTTTTTCCATGTATAATCATCTTTTAAATAGATTTGTAGACATAAAAATATATAGCTATATATACATAGAAACATGCAAATGCAAACATAGCATGGGTAACTCTAAGAACATTTTTATGCATCCCTGAAACCCAAAGTCATTATAAAAAATATGAAAAGTCAATTTTTTTACCATCATCAAATAAAAGCTTTCTAGGACCAAGGCATTAAAAGCAGTGAGGCATATACAGAAAATCAATTACATTCTTTTAAAATTCACAATCAAAACATCCTAATTAGGTGGAAAAGCAACACACTATCTAGGATAGCAACGCTTTACTGCAGACAAACATATTACGGCAACATCTGCCTGACACTTTGATCCCTCCTGATCTTAAGAATTGCAAAAACTCTTCCAACACTAGAGGTCAGCTGTTTATCCACCTTTAATTTTCACATTATGCCCCCTAAAAATTATACAAATATTTCTTTATATGAAATAGAAACTGTGTTCTTCTAACAGTACACTAAAAAGTTAGTTGCATCTTTGCTGCAATCACTTAGAGATCATACTTTCGGGTAGAAAATGACACTGTAAACTCACATCCCAAAGGTAAATAAATTGAGGTAGTTGATAGAGTTATAAATATCTCCTCACAGAATATTTTACAACTTATATCAAGTATGAGCATCATAGCGTCTCTGAACCCTTTTAACACAGTTTATACTTTAACTTTTGCTATATTTCAATTTTTTGTCCAGAAGTTCTGCACAGGGACCCTTGTTTTTCCCTAGAATATTTACTTATCATAAGACTTAGAATAACAGCCCATTTTTTTGAATACGTTTTGGCATAGTAAAACAATTGTGATTTGCATTCTTTAAGGACTCCACCACCGATTTGGGCTTCATTTTCTGATTCCAAGGAGTTTCATAGAAAAAGAAAAAGTCACAAGTGCTTTACCTGATTTCTGTATCTGCCCAGCTGATATCATCTTTTATTGGGATGATCAAAAGAGGGTCTTTCAGAAAAAGCAAATAGCCTACCAGAAACAAATTTAAAAGAGAAAGAGCAAAACAGAAGCATGACAGTTTGGGAATAATTTTGTCAGCTGTTTTGCAGCTCTAAAAGGTTCTTTAAACTAGGCATTCAGTTTCCTGAATAGGCAAAAATATCTGGCCCTTAGTAGCATTTATAATGTACAGAGGGTATATATTTTGGAAATATTAAGTTTCCTGAAAGGACCTGAGTATAGGTGTAAATTCAAGAGACAAAAAATGACACACAGCATGGGATGACAACCACACATTCACACATACATATTTGCCAGTAAAGTGTTGGAAGAAAGATTAAGTTAATTTGAGACACTTCTCTATACTTGAGAACAAATTGAAAGGTAATTTTTGTGTGCTTTCTTACAGAAAATAATTCTAGGTTTTGTATTTTCCCTTGTTACAAACTGGCTGCGAGGCTCATGAGATGAAGGCATTTCAGAGTGTCCACCTGAATTACTATGACACTACAAGCTAATATTTGTCATTGCAAGATGGTTCTTCAAAACTGACATTTTCCATTACCAGCTCCCAGACTGTCCTGTGCAAATAAGTGAAGTAATGCTGTGTTACCTCTTAGTATCCTTGAGCATGTACTGGAGTGCTAGAAGTCAGGAGACGGGTATAGCAGTCTTGGTCCATGGATCACCACTCAGTTTTTCTTTACTTATGTTTAACCCAAATAAACATTACGGTAAAAGTAGTAAATGAGTTCACTGCCACACAGATACTAGATGTATATCAAGTATTAATTACACAGTTAATATATTTAGAAACAGGTCAACTGAAGTAACAAAACAATGGGTGATTATTACTTGTACTGTAACTTAGCTCTAAAAAGTGAATTTCATTCATCTGCATTTCATTCAGCTAGAAAACAGCTAAAATATTCAAACAGCTCATACCTTGGAATGTAATCCACGGATATAATCTATCTAAAATTGTACTTAATGTTGAGTATTGCTTTCATTGAAGGGAATCTTGACATGGGAATGTATATCCTTATTTCACTATTTTCTCCCCAAGGTCACATACACATCAAGTCAAAGCAATCCTCCAAGGACTTCTTAAGATTCATAAACTCAACACTTACTCTAGACAGCAGGTTCTAATACTTCTCCCCGAGGTCTGTAGAGCGCTCCTATCTGACTTGAGAAATGCTGCTGGTCCCTGGACACTTCCAGGCAGAATTTGGCCAGAAAGCAAACTTTCCTCCCTCTGATAACTGCCCTATTACTTAACTAACTATAAATAAATAACATACTATGAAGGAAATGTTGTCTATATATCAGCAAGGCAGAATCTGAACTTCTTCCTACACTGAAAAAAATATTTATATTAAATATTTAACTTTGATAATCATACTTCACATATGCATAGAAACTAGAAAGGATTTAAGGGATTCGAGGCTGACAGTGGGTTTCGGATGGATGAATGAATTACACTGCAGTGATCACGCATTCTCCATTCAAAAAGACCATTCGAATGCTCTGTAGCACCAATGAAGTGCACAGCATCTAATGATGAAATCAAGCATATTTAAGTACCAATCATGGCAAAATAGTTCACTATTTCCATTAAAAAGAACATGAATAAGAGAGATACTGAGTATGTAGGAAAGTGAAGATAGTTGCTTTGATCATTCAAAATTCTGGCAATGGAAGCTGGAGAATGACAGATAATCACCAATCTTAAACTCCCTTTTCCTTAATCACCCAAATTCAGAAATACACTTTACTGCAGTGAAGTAGCTTTAGCTTATACTGACAGCATCCTTCAGAGATACAAAAGAAATACCCAGAAATGGCCAGAAAAGCTACTGCCCTTATGTTCTTCAATAAGAGCATGACAACCTCCACTTCCTGACTTTTTTATATTCCATTCTTTATTTCATTATAAGAAAGTAATCTTCCCAGATTAAAAATCAAAAAGAGGAGTTTTTAGAGTGGTTAGGTTTCTGAAGAATATATAACACTGGACTTTGATGATACAGAAAAGTTAGTGATGAACTTTTCCTACTATGTTTCCTTTTTTTAAATTTGTGTTGGCATGCTACCAACAATGATGAAGTGTCATTATAGAACACAGAAAGATAAGGCAATTTGAAAATTTTCTAGGGAAGAAATTTTCTAGAGGAAAGAGAAGACTTGTTGCTTTGGTCAACCCCTCAGTTAAAAGCTTTATCTCAATTCTTCCCAGGAAGTTCATCAACAAAACTTTGGAGGTGTGTTTGAGGTAGACTTGCAATTTCAAATTTTCGAGTGCAAGTGTAGTTGCCAACACAATACATCTTTATAGAATTTGAATCAACATGAATTCATGTAAAATATCAGTGCTACAAAAGAGCACTAAGTAAATCTTCTTTGGAAATGTTCTGAATAACGAGCAAAGCACTAGTCTATATGTGTACGGTACTCTCACAATCAAATACAGATTTATACAATAAAATATATCAGCCAGTTATCTTATTCTCCTGCTATTTTTCCTGGTTTGCCAAGAACATTTCCACAACTGATATAATGACATCACTTACTAAAAGACTTCCATAGATTAACATTTTTTACATTAGGGACTTCCCATCCTATCTTGTTCATCTCTTCATGAAACAGATCTGGACTGCCACAGATCTTCATAGGATATGTGTGTTCCTAGCATTACAAACAAACAAGAAGTTAGTCTTACACCATCATCTAACTTTAGAGATGTCTCCTCTTTCTAGAAAAGCAATGGGGGTACACTCCTTAAGGAGAGACTGTACCGCCTACCTTAGAGAAGGTTATAACTAGTATTCTTTATTAGTCTTTAGACCAAATCCGCGTAACAGTGAGGTAGCCTGTGAAAGTAGGAATGAGAAAAGGAGACAATTCCTGAAAGACAATTTTGGCTGGAAGGGGAGAAACATCAGTGATGGAGGAGGATGCACAGTTATTTCATCTGATCTGGCGCTCTGTTAGATATCAGATGAGGAACAAACACAAACAATGACATATCAAACAGAGTCACTGGAGGAAAAAAAAGACTCATTAGTATCAGAAAAATATTTCTCAGTGTTTACATGTATTTCCCAACCATGCCATATAGTTTGCATATGTGCTTATGCAAAGGAGGCAGTTTTCATTTTAGGTGTGATGGTAGGACTTTGCTTTCCTCTGAGATTCTAGGGCTAAAGTTTTAGGGATGCCATGACTGGGAAACAAGGTTAAAAAAAAAAACCAAACACCAAAACATATTCCACTTCTCATGTAATCTATATTGCTTGGGTCAATTTCTTTTTTACATTAACCCCCC